TAACTTCTGATCTCCCACTGATGTTAACAAATGTTTAATGCCGAATGAATGTTGTAATTAGGACTAGCCTAGGTATGATATCTAACGAAGCAATGAACCATACAGAAAGGCAGATTAATTTCATTCATGGTAACTAAATAAACTAAATAAACTGCAAACTTTAGGATGTCACATCAGCATTTATCGTGAAAAACGGTTATCGATGCAAGCGCAGTAAATCCACAGCCAAATGATTATAACCAAAGCACATTTGATTAAACGGACTTCTCAATGCAGTAATATAGTTCCTTATCAAAACAAGATAAGGATGCGTTCTCTAGAAAGTTTGACTCTGGAATATTATAATATGTAGTAATATTATCGGTCATTATCTTCCGATGTAAATGCTGCGTTCGCTAGCATCATTTTGTAGATCATCGGAGAACGCATTTACATTTTACATCACTAGTTGTCGTGTACATTAACATGAGTTACATACCTCGTCAAACTCGTTATTTATTATGTAACTCGTTATATATTATGTAACTCGTTATATATTATGTAACTCGTTATATATTATGTTACTCGTTATATAAAGGGTGGCCCATAAAACACTACCCATCCTTATCTCTTAAAATTGTTACAGGTCGATGAGATCTTGCAAATTATTTAAAAACAAAAAGTGGCATAACTTATGTTCTGATAAATATTTCTGCCCCTAAATTTCACAGAATGTTAATAACAAGTAGCTAAACCTTTGTGGCAAGTTTTGTGTGAGTGCGAGTTTCACTGAGCTTATTTGACCAATTTAGCCCCTGAGCGAGCTAGCTTGAATTTCTAACCCAGTATGGTATGGGACCATCTGGTATGGGTATTGAGACCACCTGATATGAGACCACATGGTATGAGACCACCTAGTATGAGACCACCTGGTTTGAGATCACCTGGTATGAGACCACCTGGTATGAGACCACCTGGTATGAGGCCACCTGGTATGGGACCACCTGGTATGGGACCACCTGGTATGGGACCACCTGGTATGTGACCACGTGATATGTGACCACCTGGTATGATACCACCTGGTATGAGACCACCTGGTATGAGACCACCTGGTATGAGATCACCTGGTATGAGACCACCTGGTATGAGACCACCTGGTATGAGACCACCTGGTGTGAGACCACCTGTTATGAGACCACGTGATATATGACCACCTGGTATGAGACCACCTGGTGTGAGACCACCTGGTATGAGACCACCTTGTGCCTTGTGGATATCACCTCGTATGAGACCTCTCCATAACATCTAACCCTGAAAAGAGTACTTCGTCCAACTGAACAAAGCCCTCTACCTCAATAGTAACGAAGTTGTTAGTCTTATCGAGAAGCACCTCTTCTAGATCGTAGAGCGATCTAGACAGTCTGCTGCTTTGTGAGGAGACTATAATTCCGTTACTCTAGACAAATCTACTCCACAGCTAAGATCACTAGTGTAAGTATGAACGATAACCAGTACCCAGTTTCATAACATGAGCACAGACGGGGGATTGACTTTGTCTTGGTCATGTCTATGATCATTATCCGTAACCATCCTGAGATCGATTAGTCTTTAGACGATCTGTGACAATTTTGCGTTGTATGAATTTGGACGGGCATTTGTATTGTGAATATACTAGCTCCACTCATGATAAACTAAGATACTAATGACAATTCCTCTGAGTACTGCTCTGGTATCGATATTCGATAAGAACAACTCATGTTCGTACTCTCACCAATCCGAACCTCTTAACAGTTATGATACTTTGTGATTGGTTTAGATTCAACACCACGTGACCCAAACCTAATACTTGCTTGTCTCCTTGCTTTGAGGTCCCACAACACAAATCGATCTTTAACCTTTGCTTCTGTTGAACTATCTGTAATCCAGTTATATTGGCGGAGCAGACTTATAAAGAGGGTCCCTAGAAAATATCTCTTGACACTTTTCAAGAACATGATGATCTTAACTGTGGCGTGCCTTTTAACATCTGGAGTAGCAGCTAATGAAGGTATCAACATTTTTGTGTCGGCAAATGAAATTCCGATACCATCCAGCCAACCTATTTAAGAGTTTTAAGAGAATCAAAGACGATTGCATGTAATTTGAAGCAAACGTGTACATTCGGTTGCATAAAACAGTATTAAATTTAAACAGTAAACAATTTTCAGGGTGGATAGCGATAGATCGTGAAGTAAGAATAAACCACAATCTTGAGCACACTCCACTAGAAATCAAGACAAGCAGCCTGCCTGGTAGTGGAGATGTTGCTAATGTAGACTTCTATGACGTATCTCATTATAGGCATCATATTGGCGGCGTGACCATCGTATTCGGTGACAAAGTCTCATATGCAATACGAGATTTCGTAGGAACCAAGTTCTTTGAACAACAGTTCTTAGACAGCCTTCCTCAAGAGAATATCTGGAGAATCTCTTTATTCATCGGTAAACGTTTCGAACATAAGTTAATTATTAAATAGTTGTAGTTTGTTACGTATCGGGGAAATAATATAATATTAGTATCATTTCACACCAATTTCACTGCCTATGTATAATATATCATTGGCCTCATTAACATCACCATGATAACTCTGCCTTATCCAGAGTAACTACACTAAACCTAGTCAGTACGAGAAATAATGATCACACCACTTTCAAAGAAACCGTGAATAATAGGACACAACAGTTACACACGATATTATATCATGGTACTTTCAGCTCCAATCTATGTGAAGATACACTGCAATGACGTGGAAGTTGTCAGTCTGCCATGTAGTGGTGTTCACTGCCGATGGGGTCAAAAAGTAGGAAGTATGGAATTTAGCAAATCAGACACGGCCACAGATTACTATAGGCCACATACTGGTAATGTTATGAAACTATGAAATCAATATTTAAAATACATGATACTGCTCAGCTAAAAATCTGCACATCTCTGTAAAATTAAGCCCACTGAAAAACATACCTCATTGATGATATTTCGAGCATAACGTTTTAAAGAATCATCCGTTCCTCAAATTGCAAGACACATTATATAAGGTATTAATCTACAGGTTGGATAGAAGCATACCATAACTTAAGAATAGCATATGATTTGGATACCAATCCCATCATGATAAAAACCGATGCTCCTTCCGACGAGCAAACAGATTTTTCAATTAAAATGGAGGATTATAATGGTGGAAGTGATGTTGGAAAGGTTAGCATAACGATGGGACCCAATCCCACATACTATCTCATGTGGTGTAATAATGGAGGCGAGTCCTTCCACTCACAATTACCGAGTCAAGACGAGAAGATTTGGAAGATAACGCTGACCCAGATCTCAGATCGTCTGGTTGAAATAGAGATTCTGTGCAACAAGGTGGAAGTGCTGAAGTTGGATATGTCAGGAGATACCTGCCTTTCTAACGCTGGATGGGGTGATGGTCTCAAGTGGTATCGAGGTGCTGCAGCAGTCAAATTCTCTGGATCAGCTACAGCCTTGTATAGTTCTCCACTGGGTACTAACTATATTCCGATCAATTGATTACTTTCAATTATGATTTATGTCTAGAATAATTTATTGCACTTGAATTAACCGTATCCAGCAAACAAGATAGCTGCCAGCAAAAATACGTTCAGTCAATTATACTGCATTTAAGATGACTTTGCAATGAAATATATTTATGATGAAGATCAAATAAGGGCCCAGCAATACAAATAATAACTAATTAGGATTTAATATTTACAGGGAGATGTGAAGGGCTTCCAGGATGGACAGGCATCATAACCCTAGATGGATTCCCAGCAGAACCAGAAGCGGTTATGAAGGTGACCTGCTCCCACCCCGAACATCTCCAAAAAGGGAGCAGTGAAGTAACTTGCAATGACGGATCAGATTTTGATTTTGAAAAGGAGCCTGCTTGCTCTGCTCCAGGTATTGTATTTCCTTGATCAATGTTAAGTTTTCAAACACACTGTACATTTCAAAACCAGGTTCCCCAATTTCCCCCTCATTCCCTACTTGATATAACCCAGATTCATCCTGTCCCGGTCCATTATAATTAACACAGATATCTTTTTTATTACTAATACTTTTCAAATATAATTATAACTGTTTAAATCATAAGTCTGTATGGCAATGGCTCACATTCGGTTGAATGCAAGAGCATCAAAGAAGAATATTAAAATATATTCTCCCAGGTTCGACGGTCACGAGTTATCTTTTTGGGTTTTTTTTAATCGGTTACCCAGGTTGTATCCATTGACTAGTTAATTAACCAATAATTAATTAACCAATAATTAATTAACCAATGAATAATTAACCAATAATTAATTAACCAATCACTCTTCAAAATAGATGGAGATTAGATGTCCTCCTCTCCTTACCACCATTGTGATGTTTCATATTGTATTAAGATAAGTGGCTGAATAGGAAAAAACGGTAAACTTTGATGTTATCACGTCTTACTGTTATCATCTTACTCATTTTAATGCGGATACTCAAAATATAATTAACACAAGGGATATTGTGTAATTGACTTTTATTTTCAAATTTATAAAGTTTTGTTTCTATCTTAGGGTTAGTGAAAGAGCTGCCTGGTGATACACTAAAGAGTGGTGATACGACACAAACGAGAGATCCTAGGTGCAGGCCACTTTGAAGAGACCCTCTCCAAGTAAAATTAAGTATTTTTTAAACTTTAACTATTTTTGAACAATGTATACCCTTGCTCCCCATCATTATACCCCCGTCCCCCATCATTTTCAAGGTAATTAATTCTACAACACCCCTCTGAACTTTCGGCAATACAATCTGAGATTTATACTAAGCTTAACTCCCATCAGATGAGATGAACATTGCAAGTCAGCAAAACGAACAAATTTCATCTCTCCAAGTTCGCCGTCCCAAATCTCTACCACTGCATCAACTCTTGGGGAACCCCTGCGTGTCAGCAATCTATCAGACAAATGTGAGACTGAGACTTTTAGTGGTAATCTTCATAGATCACCGCCTATGACCACAGAACCCCCAAAATAACCCTGTTTAAACAGCTGTAATAACATGAGTCTAATGAATCTTTGCGAATGTATCTAACATGGTACACAAACACAATATTATTTTGATTTGGCTTTATTTCGAGATTATAGAAATCTGGGCCGTTTCTGCTCAACATTACTTTTGTTTTATACTTTATAAGTTTATAGTGCGTCACTTCACTTTTGTATTGTCCTTAAAATCTTAAAACTGAGAGGAATTGTTTGACTTGTTTTAATATTTTGTAATTCTGGTCTGAAACAAATTTTTTCGATATCAGCAAGTTCAAAATAAACTTCAAAATTTGATATCGTAAATAAATGGTACGATTAATAAATGGTATACGATTTGTTTTCTGCACACGTATACGCCTATTAATACGCCTAGTGTAAACGTTCTTCTCGCGTATTTCAGGTATTAACAGGGTGTCCCACTATACCAGATACTTGTTGTATATTATTGTGTCAGGGTCACCTACCACCACATGGTATATAATATTGAGATATAAATGTAAGAAAGAAGAAATAAATACTGATTCTGAAGGCTAACCTGACGCTGCTTATTAGTAGTAGTCTCTTGATTTATGGAGATCATCTCTCGGGAACTGAAAATTATAATGTTACAAAACAATAGATTATAGCCGTAAATAACAATTTATTTTGTAGAACTTTCCTAATGACCAGGGTCAGAAGCACTATACCAATTTCTCATCGTGTGGTCGAACTTGTTTTATGATCCGGCAATGAGGCTTCACAATAATTCAAGGCTGCATTGCAGAAGTATACCCAGAAATATACTCAATTATGCATGACGTAAATCATAAATTGATAACGAATCTAACAATGATGATTGTTAGATTCATTATCAAAATCCAACCTTGTAATATACTGGAGCGTTTAACGAGAGAATATTTGTTAATGTAAGTATCGGATTGCAAATATGAGTAACAGAGAGAAAATCATTTCAAATACCTCCTGAAAAGTACGATAAACAATATAACTTACGGTCTCTTAATCACGTTCATCTGTTTCAGGTAAGTTTGTAGGTAGGACTGATTGTCATTTTTCTGAAACACGAACTACTAAGCATTAATATTACATTGATTTATGATTACATGCATGTTCAAGGATTTCATGTTATTCACAAAATATCAGCCAATCCGCTGACAAATTGCCATTGAAATCTCAGCTATGACACACCGCAAACAATTTACACTTGTGTTCTACTTGACAAATTTACAAGTAGAAAATATGCATCATATTTAGATCCAGCAAGCTTTTAAAAATGTTAATGGAAGATGTGGTGATGTGATGTGGTACTCAAAGGACTAGTATAGGGGGTCTTAACTAAATTATATTAAGTGAGCCCTATGGTAGGTCAGTTAGTTACATAATATTACTCTGCTTACTTGTTATTCTACTAATACTTGAGACGAATATACATTGTATAGCTGTAATCTACTAGCTCTAGAAGACTGGCAGTCAAAATCAGTCAATTTAAACTCCAAGTTGCACAGTTAATTAACGGATTACAATTAACTAGTTATATAACTTAATTATAAACTAATAATTAAAGAGAGCTAATTAACAGTAACCTGTCTGGTGAGAAGGTGGTTGCGTTTGAGCATGTTCTGTACTGCGTAACTGTCCAGCGACCCTAAAGCTACCTGAATAAAGAGATCATTGATCCTGCGTTACCATGGCAACACTCACATACAGAGTAACCAAATACGTGACACAGTAACTCACAACATGTGCAATACATCTCCCTATTTAACATCATTTTAACGGTTAATTGATCGCTACCTCTTGTAAGTAATACACAGATAGAGACCGGTGTGACATATTATAGAGAATGATTGGTTACATTTAAGCCTTTCATTGGTGATCGGAACACGGCGGCTTATAAACCAAAACTATGATGTGCGAACTCAATAACATGACGTGCTCTTAAGCGTCTACTTGTACAAATTTACTGTATTAACGGGTTTAATTAGGCAACAATTAATCCCGTATCTAATATTTTGTTGGTAGTGATGTACAACTGAACACATTAAACTGCTAAAACGTGGCACATTGAGCCGAAGTTAAGTTAATATTGGACAAGCCAGAAATATAAAACTTACTTCACGGTTACTAATTTATCATTATAAATCATAAACTAACTTTATTGCTGGAAGTGTTGTTAGAAGTGATCTGTTGGGTACCACTACCCAGAGAAGACTGATCAGAGAGACGCCGCGCAACTCTCCCACCAAGCGCGTCCTGAACTTGATCAGAGAGACGCCGCGCAACTCTCCCACCAAGCGCGTCCTGAACTTGCTCCGCCCTGTGGTGCGTCTTGTTCTCATTTGGGTGTGTTGATTTTGAGTATTGGAGATTGATGTTGTTAGATGGTTTAAGGACTGCGCCCTGATTGTCAGTTATCAACGCTGATGTAACAGCCTTCAGAGCCGTGTCTTCTTCTTCTAATGCCCTGAATTGTTCAAAATATGTTTAAACCGTTAATCAATAATTTGTTTGTTGGTACAATATATACAGTATACAGTGAATAACGAAGATGCTAGTGTTACAATAAGGAAATTCCATTAGGACTAGTTTAGAGTACTGTAAACTAATAGGGAAAGGTTAAAATTTACTAATTTATTTAACTAACGATGGCGGGGTTTCTTCTCGGGTCTCCACTGAGAGTATGTTCTGAAACAGTTTTTATTAGCCAATATATTATATTAGGTTGGTGGTCGTAGATACAATAAGTTAATAAAAAGCACGTACGTTGAGCGACTTACTCCACACAATACACTGCCTTGTAGTCTGGAATTAGCAAAACAGTACCTACGCATAGTAACTAGGGCGGTTCAAATTACCATTAGTTGTTCAAATAATTAGAGATGATATCTTATTAGTTGCTTTATAGGGTCAGGAACAACCAAACATAGTTGATAGTTATAAAAGAAACTTACAATAGGTGAAGAATCCTCTTCAGTTGTCTCGCGGGGATCCAGTATTTCCGATTCTGATGTAATGTCGTTAGACTGGTGGTTCTGGGATGGAAAGAACTTTAAATATATGTAATATAGTATTAGTAATATTAGTTCAACCTTAGGGAATACATGCTGTAGTAGACTATAATATTGACACGATAACAAAATATACCAACCTTCACAATAGTCATCCGTCACCGGTAGATGACTGTGTTTTCTATATTAATTATATTTCTGGAAACAAAGACTTCGTGGAGCTAAGTGGAAGAATGTGCTATACATTTTTGTTCTGTCAACTTCAACTTTTTTAAATCAATTAAAATTCAAGCTAGAGAATAAAAACCTGTTTAATCTGTGGAGTATCTGATTTTTTTACTTTCTTTGGACCATTCTCTTGTTTTTTATCGATAGCTTCGGTGAATTTTGGGTTTGGTGCTTGCTTTCGTAAATTACTCAAATGATAAATGTCTTTTCGCTTATTTTTTTCATTTTTTCGCTGAACCCTTTTCATCTCTAGTGATGCTTGGACTTGTTTTTTTCGTGGTGAATCTTTGACTTTTTGTTGCTGATTTTTCTTTGATTCAGGCCATTTTTTGTCAAAGTTGCGTCTAGGTTCAATATTAAACTCGGGCTCTCTTGATGGTGCAGGTTCTGGACCAGGTGCTTTTGGGGACGGCCTTATTCCATGGCTAGGTACCTTAGTTGATAAACTCTTGTGCCAATTAATAATATCGTCATCAATTGATGCCCCATCTGCATCACCTGTTGACGGAATATCATCAACCATTTTTTTATATATTGAGCCACGATTGTTCATTCCAGTTGTCGTCTCAAATTGAATAGTGGAGTCACCATACACTGTTGTTCTGTCATCAACCACGATCTCATCTTCCTCTTCACCTGGTCTTCTGGTTACAGATTTTATATCTTCGTCGCCCAATACCAGACTTATGCTTTGCTCAAGAGAACTGGCAGTATCAATATGTTCATCATCTTTCTCTATATTATTGGCCAAACTATAAGATTCTTGACTGTCATGCAAGTTGTCCCTACTCCTTTTCTCTGACAAGTGCACATGTATAAGATGAGCTCTATATTGCCTCTGAATGAGTGTTACAGCTTTTTGTTCTTCAGTATCCTGGCTGGAAAGACATTTTTCATTTACTTCACTCAAATCCTGAGCCTCATTCCTTGTCTTAAACTTCTTGTAAGATCTAAACTCATTTTGGATCAAGGTAGCAGCAGAAACTCGTTTTGCATAGTGACTCTTATAGTGTTTTTGTATGGTAATTGCAGCTATCTCAGGCATATAATATTCATCATCAGATGATTTTGTAATGTCGTCAAAAGAAATAGGATCAAAAGAATATTCCATGTTGTTCTTCTTGGTGTCTAAATCTGCAGAAATAGCTTTTTTGTTTTCTAAATGAGATCTGTATTTACTCTGAATTTTGGTAGCAGCATTGTTCTTGATTTCTAGACATGCAGCAATAGCTTTCTTGTTTTCTAGATCTGCAACAACAGCTTTCTTATTTTTTAAATGAGATCTGTATTGAGTCTGAATTTTGATAGCAGCATTGTTATCAATTTCTAGACCTGCAGCAATAGCTTTCTTGTTTTCTAAATGATATCTGTATTGAGTCTGAATTTTGATAGCAGCATTATTCTTTTCTGTGTAATATTTTCGAAATTGTTTTTTTATAGATATGGCTGCTTTATTCGTCTTTTCTAAAGAGAGCTTCTTCTTTTGTATTCTTAAACGCTTTTTATACTTTCTTTGAATAGTGACTGCAGCTTCATTTTGTCTAACATCTTCATTGGAATTTTTTTCTTCGTGTGAGCTTGGTATCACTGGAGAATCCTTTGACTTAGGATCGCCAATCAATGCAGTGTTGCTCTCATTTTCTGACTGCAGTTGATTATAACTTTGTTGGGCAATTTGAGCAGCACGTTCCAAATCAGCCTCAAACTCTTCCTCACTTTTTCTTAAGTACTGTCGGTAATGATGTTGGATCACCTGAGCAGCTTTTTCTTGTTTGACTTTAAGTCGCTTTTCCGTGATGTAGTCACGATAAAAGTTTTGGATGATCAAAGCAGAGAGGTATTGCTCATCTGTGAATCCTTCTTCTTCAGGTGATGGTGCTCTCCTCAAATTTCGTTGAACTAGGTAATTTCTCCAGCTGGCCTGAATTTTGATAGCAGCACAGTTTTGTTCATCTAATGTTACAACCTCTTTCATGTCAGTATTATTGTCCTCAAATTGCTCACTGGATTCACTACCCTCTGATATGCATACAACTGGGAGATTACCACAGGCATGAAATTTGATTGGCTTGTTGTCATCTTTGTGGTAGTCTTTGGACATCTAGCTGCTAACTCTCTTGATAACCATGTCCACTAGAATAAGCAATATGTTAAGATTGTTGGTAGTAGTAAGTAATTATTTAATTATTATAGATCAGATTATGCAATTATTGTATTTTCAACTTAATAATAAAACAAAAGTACTTTACTTTATCGCTGAACAATATATATTATCATGTACTGTAATTAAAAAAGTACAGCTAAATTTTTAGTTGTTATTTTCGAAGACCAATTAAAGTGTAATGTATGCTGTAGTTTTGTATTTAAACCAAACTCATTTATGCAAACTTATAAGTGTTAAACAAGTATCAGCAGCGCCAAGTTTGCAGAGCAAAAGTTGTGTTTTCTTTATTTGTAAATTAATTTATGATTTTACCATTTAGACACTAATTATTATATACAATTAGTGTTATATATAATATATAAATTTAATATATATAATTAGTGTTATTATATAACATATATAACACTAATTAATGAACTATAATATATAATAAAACCACTTATGTGGAATGGTAATAATGATTATGGATATATATCCGAACTTAATATGTAGGCATTGATTGTTGCAGGTTGCTATGAAATAAGATCTTTGTTTTCTTAATTTAACTTTATTTTATCAATATGTCATAGTGGCTCTTCTAGCTTCAAGGAGACAACTTTCCAGTTTAAGAGCTAAATTGCTTGGTAGTTTATTACATATTTGCACTTATAAACTCCTCATCAAACTTGACACATATGGAATAAGAGGTAATGCAAATAAGCTTATTGAAAGTTACCTTACTAACAGCCGGCAGTACGTTTCAGTTTTAGGTGAGGAATCTGATAAACTACCTGTTCTAGTTGGATTACCTCAAGGATCTGTGTATGAACCGCTACTGTTTGTACTCATTGCTTGTACTCAACTTCCTTCAGTAACATAGACAAGTAGCTTTGTCTTGGTCGGCCTTGCTGCACTCTATCATGCATAGGTTTCCATAAGACTAAATCACTGACAATTAGTTTCAAACAGTGTAAACGTAATTTACGTAGAAGTATGTCACAAATAGAGCCGACTTTAGAGGATAAAGCATATGATAAAAACGATATGAAATAGTATGAATGGGTACTCCACATCATCAATAAGAATACTTAAAAACAGAGTTAGTAATCAAATTACACATCAAAAAGATAACCAAATAAAGTGAAAAGGAGTTTTGAAAATTGAAATGCAACAATAACACTAAGAAACTACTAAGGTAATCTTGTGAAAATATGACAGTATTTGCTTTAGCGCTCGATTTTCAAACTACGGTGTAAATGTTCGAAAATATGCGCGGCGCACCTAAAATTTTGATTCCATTTAAAATGAATTTTTGGTCAGAGTTATATTTAATATATTTAAATTATTTTATATATTTTTGGCCAAAAAATTGCGACCGCGATTTTACCCGGGAAACTTAATCTGCAATCATTCCATTACCACTTTTAAACGATTGTACGATTAAAAATACGTTTAAGGTGTATCCGGAGTCTTTTAGCGTATCGAGCAAAACATTTAATTCATGCCCGTAATAGCCTCTATATTACAAATAGTCATAGTCTGTTTGAATTGTGACGTAAAAATAACCAGAATGCAGAACTTGCAGCCGCAGCCATGCCACAATGCAAAAATGATAGTGCGTAGTCATATTGCATAACATGTGGACACTAGTGGCTACGCTACGTACTTACGTAATATAGATTCGAGCAACTATAAGTATGAAGGGAGTCATTAGGCATTAGCTAGAATCAGAGATATATGGTATCTGGCGGGCAGGCGGGGCTAATTTTAATTTTGTAGTTGTACATTGTACTCACACTTTACAACCTGTAAATTTCATTGCGAGCAGAGCAAAACAAGCCACACCAGTGGCAATACTGAGTACGCACCGAATGAAATGAACTGAGGAATTATAAAACTTTCATGCCAAATATAAACCACATCCTCACGTGTTCACATTAAACTTTTGCTAAATCTCGTTTTAGTTGCCGATTAAACTTTTATTTAAAATTAGATAACCCCGTTCTATTTATTTGAACTGTTTACGCAAATTTTATCGCAAAAAAGTTTCCAATTCCAACAGTCATTATTATTAGTCGTCATCTCAAATAAATTTTTAAATATTATAATTTTTCCCGATCCATGACTCAAGTGCCAAAAGTATGTTATGTATTTTATTCCACCGCTTCTTGCCACTCTGAAAATTATAAAATCATGAATCAAGTACCGCGGACCGGCACAGTTTTTGTTGTGAGAACACTGCTAGTTTGTAACACTTTCGCAAAAGTTAGATAAGGTACTACCCTACGTCGTGTTGTGGGAATGGGTATAGGACGCAGCGGCGGAAGTCACTGCGGCGGTGGACGGTACAGCGGAGGACGGTACAGCGGAGGACGGTACGGCGGTAGTTTCCAAAAAGGTTGGACGGTACGGTGGATCACATGACACCCACTTTACTTTGGACAGTACGGCGGTACTACTACTACTAGAAACTGTACCTATAAGATAGACCTAGCATTACCTGAGGACCCCAGGCTATTATGTTCATTAACATAAAGATTTGGCGGAATGACAGGCTGAGCGCGGCCCAGTAAGACCTAGCATTGATTCACGATGTCAATCCTTCGCAGCTCGGTGAGGCACAGTGGTGCATCTCGCCGATCTACCGAAGTGGTTGCGAGAAGCATTATTTGATGCGCGCGCGACCCAGTTAGTAAAGGCTCTTACGGGCTTTGTCTGCTAGATACACTAAAATCACCAGACCCATCTTAAAAGACGTATTTTTGACCGTAGAATCGATTAAAAGTGGTTAGAAGTGTTTAAAATGGGGTTACCTGGTTTTATTTTGAAAAAACCGATTTTTGGCCCCAAAAATGGCCATTTTTTGAGGTTTTTTAGAAATTTCGACAGGTTAATTCAATCGAAAAGCTTAGATATTTTGGTTTCTTGTACATTTTTATTTGCCGCACTAGTTGATACCAATATAATAGGCATACACAAGAGTTTACCTGGTCAAAATTTTAAAAAACCTCCCAAAAAAAATGTTTTTTTGCGCGCTAAATTTTTTCGGCTCTTTACACACCCACAATGAAATATTTTTGCCCACAAAGTGTTTTAATACTGTTCAATAATACTATTTGATAGTTTTTCAGCGTAAAAACAAGTTTTGAAAGCGGAAGAAAAAATTATATTTTTCGTGGTGCTGAGCACTTTGAAATTTTTTGAATAAAATCGAGCGCTACCGTAAAATTTTAGTAACCCTTCCCTGAAACTCATTTAAGTTTTTGTACCGGTAGTGTTTTGTCCTTTTCTGAAGTTCATGCCTTCTCTGGCTTAATTTCATATAATATTGTTTAAAACAGCACAGTAAAGTGTTTTATAATAGTAGAGTGCCATTTCTAATACTTCAATGTTATATTGTTGAGATACCTTTACTTGGCTGATTACCTTTTGTTAATACAATTTCACCAATTTAGTATTGCATTGCTTATATGACTATTTGGATTTATAATTTAACGATTGTGGGTATGAATTAACTTTTGGTTCACAATCAACAATAAAATGTCTACTGTATGGTACCCTTACAAGATTAATTATAGATCTTTTGACAGGAATGCCTGACTTAAACCCCCTCATCCATCACTCATTCCGTGTTACCTGTTGGATGTGGAGGAACCCTACCACAAACTGAAATATTGTAAAGGTACCCTTCAGTACATAAATAGAGCACTGTAAATAATATAGATTAGTTACTGCTATCTTCTCAATGCAATTTTGAATACATGTCAGGAACACCTGACTTAAACCCCCTCATCCATCACTCATTCAGTGTTGCCTGTTGGATATGGAGGAAATCTACACCACAAAGTGGAATATTGTAAAGGCACTCTTCAGTACACATAAAATAGAGCACTGTAAATAATATAGATTAGTTGCTGCTATCTTCTTAACATGATTTTGAATTTATAAATAGTAGAAGAGTAAATGTCAGGAATGCCTGACTTAAGCCCCCTCATCCATCACTAATTTCGAATAAATGTATAGATGCTGCATTGAATTCATGAAGATATCATTCGTTTTGAGCAATCATTCCCTTAGCTCCCCCATTCTTTGATTGTTTCAAAGAAGTAGTCAAACTACAATATGTATTGTTTAGTTACATCTTTAGGTAGGGTGCCCCGCTAAAAGAACTGGATTCTTCCAGGAAGCATCCCGTGCACAGACCTTGGTCTACATATAAGTTAGAAAATTATGGAATCCGTGGAAATGCAAATAACCTTATAGCAAGTTACCTGTCGAACAGATACCAGTATGTCTCGGTATTAGGTGAAGAATCCGAGAAACTTCCAGTAGTCTATGGAGTGCCGCAGGGGAGCTGTCTTGGTCCCTTACTTTTTATTATTTATATTAATGACATCCGTAACTCATCAATTATAGGAAAGTTTATACTATTTGCCGACGACACTAACATATTTATAGAAGACACATGTGTCAAAAGACTATACGAAAAAGGAAATGAAGTTCTATCATTTGTGTACAAGTATATGAAACTAAACTTATTACATATTAACATTAAGAAATGTTGTTTTATTCATTTTAAACCCTCACGGGCCAAAGAGGAAGTAGAAAATGACGAGAACATACTAACTTTAAATAATGTAGTTATTAAAAGAGTTCAAGAAGCTAAATTTCTAGGCGTTATTATTGACGACCAACTTAACTGGAAATCACATACGCAGTCACTTAACTCAAAACTTAAATGCGAAGTAGGAAAGCTGTGCAGAATACGACACATTGTCCCAAAGCAGTATTATAATGATTTATATCATACTCTATTTGAATCACATTTAGGATTTGGAATATCTGTGTGGGGTGGTATTAGCAATAACCGACTTGAACCTATCTTTAAAACACAGAAAAAGTGTATAAGAATTCTGTTTGGGGATAGAGAAGCTTACCTAGAGAAGTTTAAAACGTGTGCCCGAACACGACCTGTTGATAAGCAAAGACTGGGGGTGGACTTTTACCAAAAAGAACACTCCAAGCCCTTGTTTAAAACCCACAGGTTGTTGACGGTTCACAATCTGTACAAGTACACTTGTCTCTTAGAACTATTCAAAATTAATAAGTTAGAGGAACCATTATCACTGTACTCATCATTTAACAGGTCACCACGACGAGAGGATTATTTCATTACATCACAACCATCCTCACAATTCATCTACCAATCATCCTACATGTGGAACAGCTGTCGACAAACATCAAGTAAGATAAGTTTTAATACTCCGACAAACGGGTTTAAGAATATACTGAAAATTGCCTTACGAGAATTGCAATTCAAGCATGATACACTTGATTGGTGTGAGCTTAATTTTGCCACAAATGAGCTCAAGTTCTGATTTATGTGAGTTACTAAAATGACCATATATCTTTTCTCATACATATAACCACTGCACTCCAACCAAAAACATTACTTACACCATACTCCACAAATGATATATATATATATATACACAAACACACTAGTACCGAGCAATCGCACTGTAAAACATGCTCACGATACACTCAAAATTGGAAATATTCAACGGCTTGTATATGAAACTTACACTTACACTCAGTGTACACCCAGTGTTAACTAGTATTACACACTGGTAAACTCTACGTAACGCGCGAAAATAATAACTCTATGGCGTTTTCATTGTCACATCTCACGTCGACGGGATTAAACGCGCGCGCGCGTAACATCTTATCTTACTGATATCTCAACGAATAAACACACAACGACTTTGACAATTGACCGACGACTTAACGATTGTGAGTTATGACGGACTTAACTGTATGGGTCAACTACTAAAACTGCATTGTATACTATCTTAATCATTATACTGGACATGAGATGACGAAGTATCTTGAGCAGCACTTTATACCTCCACTTAGAACTTGATTAGTCACGAACAATAGAATCATTATAAATCAATACAATAAAACATCTTGATCAATAAATGCCTAGCAGCACCAGACAGCAGCCGTGTACCTTTTTCGACTCCACGGAGTCCCTGATGGACTTTTGTTTACTTTTTTTAATAATTTGACCGCAACCTTTCTTTCTCGAAACACAAATCCTACTGTACTTCATTACAGTATTAAGATAATATAATATAAAGCAAATCATGTGAATATATGACTACGAAATAGATCTATAGACTTGTCCATAATATTTAATACCGTATTGATGGTTTTGAATTTTGTATATTGAATTTTAATGTGAAGCGTTTACTCTTCCCCCTCGGCAATTAATTAGAAAGTTAGATTAATGACAATAATTGCCAAATGACGTAGTAGATATAGATGTTCAATGTTGTAGAGTGATTTCAAGAGTAGTGGTCCACAGGGGCCCGAAAAAGCCGTACAGGCACTTGGGTCCTTATCCTTGTCACTAGTCCCAATTGGATTCACTTTACACAAAACATGAACGTTTACAATTTAGACGTACACATTGGCACGATATTTATTAGAAAGCAAACAGTATAAAATAATACGTGCGTGCGCGGCTTGAGCCGCGCCGCATAACAATTTATGCGTTTAGGGGCTGGAGTACGCGTGTTTACAGATTAATGAATTGTTGCATTGTAAATATTTAAAGTTGACGATATATTATGATTTAATAGTAAATTTTTCAAAGCTGGCTTTGGACTTAGGTAAAATTATAATTTATTTATTTAAAAGAAAAAACCACGGATAGTTTTTAATTTACATAGTCGTATAACTATAATCAAGTTAATCCTGTTTTCAAGAATGCGCGGCTTTGGCGGCCAGTTATTGACTTGTACATAAAATTGAATTTTAAATAGAAATGTGAATGTATTAAAATTTAAAACTTTCAAAACGGAGGCTTATAAATATTATTATATTATGATTGTAAAATAAAGGATAAAATTTTAAATTTGTTTCACTAAAAATTTGTTTCACTATATATTAAATTATTAACCATTCATTCTGTATGTGCACGAAAATTTATTTCAATCAAAAACATCTATTGCTTGTTATTTAAGCCATTTCATCTCTAGTAGATTCAAATAATTTCTGCAATTCTGAATTATGTTGCTGAACAAACTTGACAATCACCATTAGAAAGAAGGTGACATGTTTATGGACCCAGAACTAGCTAAGACAGCTAAGACTCTGTGTACATGCGAATCACTTCAAGAATCTTCTTGATGAAAGAAGCTTGTGTGGTTTGTTAAAAGACTTCGATCCGCTCACAGCCATGCAGATTAAGACGAATTTAGATCGACATTATTTTGATAACAATGAAAACTCAAATGGTTTGATTTTTAGCTAAATTACCATAATTATTATAATTAATTAAATACAGGCTGACAATGTTTCATTTCACAAAATGTATCTGAATAATGTAATTTTAACTGAATCTTAAGCTGTTCAAAAAGCTTTGTTAGATGATGTTATCGATGCTGTATAAGTTGAAACCTTTTGATGATGAGAGGTACATGAACAAACCTACACTAAACAATACTACATTCCAGCTTGAAACGAAATGAGTGGAGTTGAACGACGCCTGTTTATCGAAACTACATCAATCAACTTTTCAACTATGCAGGTTATTGATGAAATGAAATGAAATACTACTACTTTGTCGGAACTAAGTCCGATCTACGCCAGATAACCCCCTCCATATATCCCTGTCCCGCATCAGAGTTCACAGTTCCTCTTTTGAGTTTGTCCCAATTTCCTTCAGTAACATAGACAAGTAGCTTTGTCTTGGTCGGCCTTGCTGTGCTCTACAATGCATAGGTTTCCATAAGACTAAATCACTGGCAAGTAGCTCAGGATGTCTGATGCAGTGTCCTGCCATTTTTAGTCTCCTGCTTCGTAACTTGTTTGACAGCCTTGGTAGACTACCATACAAAGTTATATTGCTGACCTTGTCCTTCCATGAGATACCCAGCACCATACGTAGCATCTTTGTGTATGTCCCGTCCAATACAAATGAAATAAATTATTTTTATCACGCTTATATCAACAATCAAAATTAAAAACTTATGGACGTATATCACTCATTATTATGTATCACTCTCTAACATCTTGTCCTCACTAGAAATATTACCACTTCTGATATAATAATGTTTTTTTGTGTCTTCTTTGGCTCAGGCATGGCTCCAGCTCAAAATCATTGGGTGGGTGCAGCTTGGCGCACGGTGGGGGGGGGGGGGGGGGGTGAAGCCCCCTGGAAAATTTTGGAATTTTACTCTCCTAAACATATTTTAATATCTCCAAAACAGTCTCAAAGTCTCAATTGATTACAGAAGTCAATTGACCCTTAGTTTATACAAAATTTGACAATTTTTGTGTGAACATTTTCAAATCGTTTGGGTGGGTGCAACACCCTTTGGGTGGGTGCGCACCCACCCGAACCTACACGGTGGAGCCATGCCTGCTTTGGCTATCTGTTTCATTTCCAAGACCAACCGCTGATGGATAACTCGATCTTCAGGTGATCGATCTGGAGATATGAAAACAGTCTTATGATCTTCACACAGTCTCAGCTTTTTGGCATTTACTAATATCTGATGAACGGTAAGTTAGAATTATCTAGCGAAACTTTGACTGATCTAGTCTTGTTGGCTGATTTTCTCCCAACCCAGATAGCTTCAAAACGTGGTTTTTCTTCAATCTGCTGAAAAATCACGGTAACTTTATTGCACAGTTCCTCTTCATCAGTCTCCTTCAAACCAAAGATGAGCACATTCCTACTGCGATCCTCTTCCGATACACCATTCTGTACAACCTTTTTAAAATTCTCTTCTGCAAGCACAGGTGCATTTTTAGTCACAGCTTGACTGTATGACTTCATCTCAGCTTGGACAGTGTCTTGAACGGCGGTCTTGACGGTGGAGTGCATGGATTCCAACTGCTTCGATTTAGTTTCCAGAAGTTCAGCCTGCAGCTTGATAACAGTACTTTGCGATCGGATAAGATCGCTCTTCAACTCCTCCATATCTTTCTTGTTATCCAGAAACGTACTTACATGATTATCGGTAGTCTGATACGCAGAATACAAATTATAAATGTTTTACTGAAACTGACTTCACTGGCTTTTTGAACGTTTCAACTGAAAACTCAGATTTATTGTCACAGTTCGTAGCTTCCGCGAGTTCAGTGATCCAACCGTTATAGACCTCATACTCTTCAGTAATGTAGCTAGGTAGAATAAACTGACAATCTTTGAAGAGTATCCATTTCCTCCATCGATTACTTGTACTTGTATAAAGTAAAAACATAGTACCAGCAAAATGGCAGTTGTAATGTAGCGATAAAATAGAGATATGAGCTAGATTATCAACACGTAAAAAAAAACTGTAAAACTGTATCATAATATTATTATGCTTTTAACATCATCTGTTGTGATATACATGACAAAGGGTTGGAAATGTACAGTAACCTTACTATATTGCAATTACACAATATTATGTGAACGACCCCTAACCCCTTATCTAAGGCTCTATAAGTATTGAATAATGATAACTGCAGGATTTCAAAATGTACAAGGCATCATATCAAAGATTGCATATGCCCGAAAGAAGGACAAATCCAATTTGGCTCTCTGGATGTATGGAAAGCTCTCAACCTTCCAGAAAAGGACTGTTCAAAGGAACACTTAAATCCCTCCGACAGGTAATTATTATAAATAATAATTTAGTCTACACTTCATTATGTCAAATCACCTACCATTATGAAGAACTTAAATTGTTGTGTTACGTAACCAAGTTACGTAACCAAATTTAATGTGACTCAATTTTGGTGGAACTTTAGAATTTGGACGTTATATCTATCATGTTCATCTTAAATCTCATATTATATAATCAATATTCAATTAAACAGACAAAGATAACCTCTCTAGGTCCTCTGGTGGTGACGTATAAGTGCTTTCTCAGTACTTTCTCTCGCTTTTGGACAAATCCAGTGAGTTTACTTTTTATCAGTGGTCGACCGGGGGCAGGATTCTGACCGGGGCCGGGGAGCCCCAATATAGCCGGGGCCGGGGCTGACCACTGAGAATTGGCCGGGGCCAGGGTTTACCCCCGGAGAATTGCCAATCTTTGGCTGGGGGTTGTGATTTTGGCCAGGGGGCACCGGGCGACCACTGCTTTTTATGTCACGATTTTAAAACTTTATTCATAAGTTTATGAAACATCAAAACTCTGCATGCTCTGCATTATGTAAAGTCAGTCATGCACTAGAGCACAGTTCACATATAATAACCTAATCCAGCCTAGGGGAGGGGGTTTGAAATCGCTTGTGCTAGAGTGATTTATACTCAATAGCTATGTGAAAAGTGGCTCAAGGAGGGGAGACCGACGTAAACAATTTTGAATTGGTAGAAGTTAAGTTTAGGCTTTAATAAAAAACTTCACCGGACCGTTCCAAGCTGCCTACAAAGCTGGCAGGAGCTGTGCCGACCTAGTTTGGGCACAGAGCATGCTCATATCTGTAGTAATGAAGAAGGAGTTTGAATGGAACAAAGTGAGTATCGACATGTCAGCTGCCTTCAATACCATCCGCAGAGGTACAACAATCAGACTACTAGAAGCTGCAGGATGCTCCAGAGACGACCTGAGGCTTGTACAATACCTCATGGCTAACACCACTCTAGTAGTCAGAGTGTGTTCTACTGACTCAGAGATGTTCTCTTTCAACATAGGAGCCTCCCAAGGAGACAGCACAGCTGGTAAATTGTTTACCCTCAATCTAGCTGGAGCTGTAGTGCACATAAGAGCAGTCCTCCCCTCAACCCCCAACCCTCCGATAGCCGATAACCACATGCCTCTTGAGTCCGGCTATTCAGACGATGTAGAGGAGATTGGTGAAGATATGGAGGAGTTACAGGATATCTTTCAGATCTCCAAGAATATTCTCAGTGAATGAGTCTCTTTGTCAATGACACAAAGACAAAGTTTACCAGAGTGTATTTAGAAGAAGTTGGTGCATGTGACGAGTGGGATAATGAACTAAGAGGAAAAGAGGAGTGGAGAAACGAGACGCTTCTTGGTACTAAGCTTGGATCAGAGCAGGATGTTACTAATAGAATGAATAAAGCTAACACCGCCTTCTGGTCATTTGACAAGCTGTGGTGCCAGGGATCAGAGAGGAGTCAGATAACCGAGAAGAGAAAGATCAAATCTACGACTCACTAGTAGTATCAGTGCTCCTGTACAACTGCTGCTGCTGGGCCGTACCTCAGCATGTTCTAGAGTCTGTTGATGTTGTTCAGAGGAAGCACCTCAAGCGCATCCTACACATCTATTGGCCTAGCTCAATATCTAACAAGGCCCTCTACGCTCGTACCCAGACCAGGCCCCTTTCCGAGAGAGTGGAAAAGGCACGGTGGACAATGCTAGGTCATGTTCTACGCATTGACAACGACACGCCTGCCTACCAGTCTCTGTTATTTGCTTCACTAGGATGTCAAACACTAAAGGGACGAGTGGGTAGACACAGGACTAATTTGTATGATATTATTGTGAAAAAGGACCTATTTAAGAGACAAATTTATTTGAAAAATGAAGATGATTTTACCAACTTAGTGAACTTAGCAAGAGATAGAGTAGGATGGAGGAGTTTATTTACTTTGAGACATATTGAACGAATGAGTCTTCGTAAGCGTAAATAGGCCAGCACTTTGCTGAGCCTCTTTAGGTGCTCTTTTGTTTATAGATGTTATTATATATTTAAAGAATATCATTCTTTTACCACATACATAAGACTTTGTCGTAGGGTATACAAAAATGTGACCATTCATCAATTTTCAGAGTGCTGTATCTGTACCCGAATAGAAATAAAGGATTTTAATGACACAGTTTTCTTCCGCTCTGAAAGTGAACGAATTACAAAACAGTCTAGAGAATTCCTCGCCCTGCTGCAGAAGATCAATCCTGGGTTGTGCTCACCAAAGCAAACCTCTTTTTTTGTGTATTCAGTGTCTTAACTATGTAAAAGACAACTATAACAGGGTGAGTGGTTTCCTCCTGTTTTACTAACATTTAAAAACATCAGGAGGTGACCGGGATTCCCGGTACCGGGATTGGCAATTTTGAGCTATCCCGGTCCCGGTCAAATGCTGATTTATTTATTTATGATCCCGGTCCCAGTCCCGGTCCCGGTTAATTCGGGATTCTTGGTCCCGGTCCTGGTCCTGGTCCCGGTCAATCACTCAAATTTGCCGGGATTTTGACCGGGATCTTTTACATAATTTCATTCACTGTGATTTTAAGTTTTTCCTTTCATTCATTGTGAATTTCATCTTTAAATATCCTCTGAGCCAAATACAACAATGTTTAAAATTGCTTAACAAGTTTGAGTAATAAATTATGATCATGAATTAACCAGTAATCGACCGGAATTCCCGGTACCGGGAATCCCGGTACCGGGATTGGCAATTTTGAGCTATCCCGGTCCCGGTCCCGGTAAATTGATAATCTCAATTTTGAGCTATCCCGGTCCCGGTCCCGGTCCCGGTCCCGGTCAAGTCACATTTTGTATCCCGGTCCCGGTCAGGCCTGAAATCATGTCCCGGTCACCTCCTGAAAAACATTATTATTCAAAGGTAAATAGACAGCGAGTAGTAATTTTTAATCCATTTCTATCGGATTTGCAAACTTTTAAAATGATATAACACTTGTACGATCTCAAACTTATGTGATATGATACTGTTGATTTAAATGTGGGAAGTAATAAAGTATTTGCAGGTGTACAGTGCTGTTTCTGAAATTGACGAATCCTCTTGTGATGAAGATTGAAGAAGCTATTGCCATCCAAGTGGAAAAAGTCCCGCCTTTGTCACCCTCCTCGAATAGAACTAAGAAAATGTGGAGACTTTCTTCATTTAGTTCCAAATCAAGTGGACCAGATGTTGATTTGTTTGAAATGGACTGAGACTTGTGTTTCATATGCCAGGTTGAACAGGTTTGTGTGAAACTTTTGCTCGCAAATATAATTATTATACATATTATCTCGATTTAATTTTAAGAGTATGAGAGGTTATTCTTCTTTAACAATACGAATTTCCCTAGACGTTAGAAACAAAAAAGGATAGTCTGATTCAAGGAAAAGATAATAGTTTCTTCGTCGATTTCGCAACATACTATCTGTGGACATCTACAGAAATCGTCAGGATCTGTGCAACATCGATGTTAATCCTGATTCGCATGAACAAGTGCCCTGTTCTTAACCCTGAGAGTCTCGGAAAATATTTCTATAGCAAGCTAGGTAGATATCACAAAACATGTCGTTTGAGGTACAGCAACTCGAGGGTGAAACAATTGAAGGGTAAATTATCTGAAGCTGTAAGTTTAAAACCTGTCTATAAGGCAGGTTTTAAAATGGAAAGACACGTGTCCACGCACGACAACACCAATGCTGCATTAATGAGTGCAGGTATTGATACGGACCTTTTAACTGGAGCAGGAGAATGTTTTACCAGAACTGTACCTCGTGTCTGACCTGAAGCTTAAGTACAATGACTATGTGACGTCTAATTTATCTGAGAACGCTGCAAACTCCAGCAATGTTTAATCTGATCACATCAGTTTTCAGAAAGACAATGTCGGTAAGACGAGTTTGTTTCGACAGCAGGATCGTATCTAATCTTGCCGCAACAATAGATGCGGATAGAGATGATAACACTTTAACAAAGACAGCACTCTTAAAGGAGATTAGAAAAGAAATCTTTCAATGTAGAAACGAATTCTATCAGAAGATTTATCTTCAAAAACATGTTCGATTTACTGATCGGACTGTAGAAATATAGTGTTTATGTGGATTAATCTGTTAAAGCAGGGCTATTGTATCATTTTAACATTAACTTTGCATAGTGATGATACGTTTATTGTGTCTCTTGTGACTATCTATTTCTACAGTGTTACGGTACCACGAGGTTTCTGGCGCAGTGACGCGCTTTCGAGCAAATATCGTGCTAGATACGTCACGCGCCGCAACCGAATCAGATTTAAGTGCACTTTTTCCATTGTAAACACTACATACGACGCGCAACACGTTCTACGAGGTCGAAATTTTCGAGGTCTCTAACACCAGAATGGAGCAATATTTAGACGATCTGACACTCTCTAGGGCTTAAGCAATCTAAGAGAAATTAGGGGAACAACTCAGAAAAAATTTTTAGTCGATATTCCGGTGTCTGTAGATGTCCGAAGTTTTGGCAGTAAAGTGATCACAACACAGCTTCTAAAGGCTCTAGAAGGTTCCCGATACCGTCAGAGTGTTCAGTACACTCCATTCTATCATCCAAGAACCCTAAAAGAAGTCCCAGGGCTCGAGCAAAGAAGTGTGATATTTGCCCGTAAGAGCCTCTACTAAGTAGTGCATCGCGCTACAAGACCTAGCACTGCTAATATAACAAAATCGATTAGCTATAAAAAGTTCTATTTTCCTCTTTGTTACTTCGAAATTAAATTTAATTAAAATTAAATTGGATAAAGTTTAACATATACATTGTGATTACTAAGAGCAGTTCTTGTTCCACTTTCTGGTTCGTATCAGATCACGTCCGGTCTGCACGACGGTGGTTATTAAGCGAGTGCACGATGAGCTTGTTACGGTGAGATCTCATATCACTGCGCCGAGATGCAATGGGTAATAACAAGGGCATGAGAACACGTCACGAGGGATCGCATCCAGGAATCTGATCAACCGTAGCCAAGAAGAGAGGTAGCCAAAATGAACAACTACAAACTAAACTAACAAGAATTATACAAAATGATAAAGAGAAAATAAAAAATAAAACTTATAATGCGAATCTAGAACAAAACTTAGAAACAAGTTGAATGTGTAAGTTCTGTCTTAGGTACAGTGTCTAGTAGTAGTAGTACCGCCGTACTGTCCAAAGTAAAGTGGGTGTCATGTGATCTGCCGTACCGTCCAACCTTTTTGGAAACTTCCGCTGTACCGTCCTCCGCTGTACCGTCCACCGCCGCAGTGACTTCCGCCGCAGTGACCGGTTCCCTGTGGGAATACTGTTTTTGCAAAACGATATAAGATCAGGCAACAACCCAGGGCCCATGAGTACAGTGAAACCCCAATTTACCGCGGAGTTTGGGAAAAAGGAATGAGGAAACACCCGCGAAATCGGGGTTTGCGGTAAATCGGCCCAGCTGGCTTACGCCGAGTAGGGTGTTTTGGCCGTTCTAACTTAAGACTTTTATGAATTAAAGCAGCCGTATTGATCTTCCAAACCTACAACTTTCAAGGGCTAGAATTCGCTGTATTTTGCCGTTAAAACACAACTTGTATTGTTTAACTTCATGATTGGGCCGTAATTCAAAAGCAAATTGGCAAGAAGTGGTGCTCACGGTCTCACTTAACGTCACTTATCGCTCAGTTAAGAGCGACCATGGTCTTAAGCGACAGACAGCCTGCAGGCATATGATCCGAATACGAAATATCCTTGTGTTCGGCATTTAATAGCCCTAATTGGTTACTTCGTACCCAGGAAAAGTTACCGGCTGGTGGTGGTACTAGAGTTGGTTTAATTTAAACAGACGGCTTGACCTCGCGCGCGACAACAAGCATGATTTGCACGCGTGGCGTATTCCAATGTTCAGGCAGCTACCACGTGACACAATTCAGCCAACCAGAGTACAGGAATCCGCAAAGTTAAAGTTGCAAACTTTTGATCGGCCCGAAAGGGGACTTTTCTGGAGATTTTGAGATAACTCAACAATTACGTTGTCTTGAATTTTCCTCCTGGAGAGGTAACGTTACTTTTAAAAGAGGAACATGTTACAAAAAACCGGAAGTCTCCAACTCTTTTACTTTCAAAGTTAAGCCCCATCCGGTCAGGGTTCCTGGGGGGGTTTTGTTTGTTCACATTATGCATGTTAGGGTCTGCCCACACTACGCCATGTGGCGACGGGCCACATGGCCCGATTCACCTAAACACACTGTGCCACTTGGCGTGGATTTAGCTTGTATCACGTTGCGACCCCCACGGTCGTTTCACTATGGTGACGCGGACGATACAGGGGGAGCCGCGCACTTCGTGCGCGGCGGGTCATACAACGTATGACAAGATTTAGCAAATCCGCGCCTCTATTCAGAGGCACGGATTTCCTGCCCACACTACGCCATGTTGCGACGGGCCACATGGAGTGGGTCAAAAGGCACAGTGTGTTTAGAGCTCCAGCAACTAGTGACCGGATTCACACAACGAGGCGCGTTGTGTGTTTAGAGCTCCCGCCAGTTGGCGTGGAAACTCTCGAGGAATAGAGGCACGGATTTTAAAAATCCGTGCCTCTATTCCCTTTGCTAAATCCACGTTTAGATAGACGGGCCACATGGCAAGAGCTCTAAACACACTGTGCCTTTTGACCCACGCCATGTGGCCCGTCGCCACATGGCTTAGTGTGGGCAGGAAATCCGTGCCTCTGAATAGAGGGGCAGATTTGCTAAATCCACGCCAAGTGGCACAGTGTGTTTAACTTTAGATTAATCGGGCCATGTGGCCCGTCGCCACATGGCGTAGTGTGGGCAGACTCTTAAGCCCTATTTGAGGGAAGGAAATAGCTGCACTGTAAATCGCATGGTTTGCGGTAAATATGGGGGGGGGGGGGGGGGGGGGGGGGGGGGGGGGGGGGGGGGGGGATAAATCGGGGTTTTACTATACCTGTTTTTGGAACGCAGGTATCCGTATAGTATTAGTAATTATAGTAATAGTATAGTTTCTACTTCTAGTTCGTAAAATAAGTAAATAGTTCGTAAAATAAGTGCAAGTAGAAATAATACTGACAAAACTATACAAATATATTATAAAAGAATGTGATGTATCAGCTTATTCCACTGCTTCCCGACACACTGACAAATGTCAAATCAAGTACCACTCCAGTTCCTGTATTTGGAACGCAGCTTTTCTGACATCCATAATCGTGATTCCCACCATATAATAGTTTTTATTCAAAATCAATAATCAACAAAACGTTTTTTAGCTTCATACTTCATAAGAATATGTGTCTAGTCAATTGTTTTAATATGAACATTAATGTAAGACTAAGAGTTTGACGTTGACGCTATACATTTTCTTTTATAACCCAAGTGGGAATATAGACGCCAATATTTGCCGGCACTTGTTGGAGAGCGTAAGATGCCACGATCAATTAAAGCTACAAAATAAATGTGGGTAATTCAACAAAGGAATTGTCTAACTGTCATTAGTCGTGAGATGTTTAATGCACATTGAAATATAGTATTGAATATATTTGCACTCTATAACAATGCCTCGTACAGTTTATATCGAAATGAAAAACCCCCTATCCTAGCTCGTAACATTAAACAGATTAATCGGATTAAATTATTCAAAAGTCAAATTACAATGGTAATGTGAATGTCTGACCCAATTGCCAATATAAAAAGTAAATTTACCCAAAAGTCAAAAAGTACTAATACTATAATATATAGTACTTTTTGACTTTTGGGTAAATTTACTTTTTATATTGGCAATTGGATCAGACCATTGGTGCATATATACAAGAAAATGAGAATAAAATTGAAAACACCATAATAAACAAAAAAACAATCCCCACAAATCTTCAGAATGAGATTTATTTTAAAATTAAATGAACTCTTCTTAAAAGTGTTCCGAGTCTTACAATTGGCAATATTGTTATTGTTAGGTGCTAGAAGTTTGTTTATAAGTCAATGCATTATTAACTTGCCTTCTGATAATAATGATATAAAAGAACTTTCTTAGAATAGAATAATCTTAAGAAGAACAATTTTTCTGTATATTATGTTTTTTATTCTATGTACTTTCCGATGTTTTTAATGTAGAACGTTTGACCCTAACCATATTAATGGACATGTCAATCTTATCTCATTTTACACAATTTTGCCAAGTTGAAGTACACAAACCTAATAGAACAAATAACGGCCGATGATGCAAAAAGTGCAATATTAGAATTATGCAATAGCTTGTAATTTCGCACCCACCACACTGATATCTTTATATGTTGCCAGTG